ATGATACGAAATGCTCCTCAGAGCAGGGGGCTCTTCTCCTAATGTAAACAACCTCGGCGGCAGTTCTGATATATCCATTTTAAGGCCTGCAAACAATCACAAACAACCATCTCAACCACAAAGGTAGCGCACTATTCTAAATACTATAGAAGACTAGCAGACGACTTCCAGGAAGTGAGATAACTACTCAGACGACTTCTTGGAAGTCTTCTACAGAGTCTTACTCTCTGGACGACTTACATGTAAGTCGTCCAGAGAGTAAGACTTCGTAGAAGGCTTCCAAGAAGTGAGAAAACTACTCAGACGACTTACAGTCGGAGAAGATTTAGACGGAGAAGATGTGAAAAGAAGAGTTGTCCCTAGCGGTTACAGATCTGCATTTAGTGTTTTCCGGCGGCTAAACGCCTTAAAACATAAGATATAACATACCGGCGGCGAAGGAAAGGGCTACGAGATTTCAGATCTGAAAAAAAGGAAGGAGATGGTCAGTTTAAACTACGAAAATACTCTAAGCCATGAAAGAAAAACAAGATTCGTCGAAATCGGAGAGATTACCGGCGAAAACGAAGAGATTCGTCGAAATCGGAGAGATTCGTCGAAATCGCCTTTACAATCGTCCTTGGAGAGAAACGGCGCTAGGGTTTCGGAAAATTGTGAAAATGTGAAAAATAGCTTTTATATGTCCGGTAAAAATCCGGTTACGTTAAAACGTAAAATGTTAAAATTAACGGTTCGGTACAATTAGACGACTGAAATTTCATTCGTCTGGGAAATAATTTAAAGCAGACGACTGAAATTTCAGTCGTCTGGGAAATAGTTTAAAGCAGACGGTTCGGTACAATTAGACGACTGAAATTTAATTCGTCTGGGAAATAATTTAAAGCAGACGACTGAAATTTCAGTCGTCTGGCAAAAACCCCCTTTTTATTGTTCTAATTGAAATATTCTTAGTCATAAAATTCTCTCGACAATTAATCGAAAAGATAAACGAACATTGATATAAATTAATTGTTTTAACATTCCATAATAGGTCACCATATATCACCAGTGATTCTAACATTCCATAATAGGTCATTGGCAGAGCTGCCGGAAGAAGAAAGGTTCATCTGATCCCTATGATTTTTAATATTTTTTGTTGTTTATACAATTATACTGAAAGTTTGTTTAGGATAATCTGAAATATTTGCTTTTGAATATTGGAAGGTTCAAGGTTGAAACCCGTAATCTTTTTAAATCATAAACCATAACATGTGTTAGGCCTGGGCATTTGAATTTGGATCCAAAAACCCGACACGGAACCGAGCAAAAATACCCAACCCGAAACCGAGCCAAAAATTTATAAGTACCTATATATATGGGTCTAAATTTCCAAGAGCCGAAGAACCCGGATCCGAAAAAACCGATCCGAATAGATCCAGATCCAAAAAGAATCGACCCGAATAGACCCAATCCGATAAGAACCGATTTGTACCCGACTTAAAACATATATCTAATACTATGATTTTATGTATTATGTTATATATATATATATATTGTATGATTTAGTTGAAATATTTTTGTTAATACTATTTATTATTATTTTGTAACATTTTAAGTAATATAAAGTTTTAAAATGTAAAATTTAGAGTTTAAATTTTTTTATATTAATTATTAATAGTTTAATTTAAGTTATTTTGTAAAATTTTAAATATATATGACAAATATTAACTAAATTTGAGTGAGTTTAGATATGTTAAGTCTTTTTCGATGTTAAATACCCGGATCCAATATGAACCTGAAAAATTATGCGTATTTTACAGATATGAAATTATAGACCCGAACCGACTCGGATCCGACAAGACCCGATCCGGAATCGACAAGACCCGATCCGGAATCGACAAGACCCGATCTAGAACCGACCCAAAAATTTATAGGTACCTACATGGGTCTATAATTTCATATCTGTAAAATACACGTAATTGTTCGGATCCATATCGGGTCCGGATATTTAACATCTAAAAAAGACTTAACATATCCAAACTCACTCAAATTTAGTAAATATTTGTCCAAGACCCGTTCTAGAACCGACAAGATCCGATCCGGAACCGACGCAGAAATTTATAGGTACCTACATGGGTCTAAATTTCTAGGATCCGAAAGATCCAGACCCGACAAGACCCGTCTCAAACCTAACCCAAGGACCGGATGTCCATGCTTAACATGTGATATTAGTACACATCGGTCATTCGAATTGGGAACCTTTCATACAATGGTTAAATGCAGGCACGTCTCATACTTATAATAGACCCTAGGCTAAAATTGTTTTAAGATTTAGTTTCTCATACAAATTTTTAAAAAAAATATTGGATCCTTTGTGTAAACTATAAAAGATATAAAAAAAATATGATGGGTCCAGTACAAATGCACCTTCAGCACTGGGATAGAGCCGGGCCGGGTTAATTGTACAGTACTTTCAATTGAACTAATGATCTCTGATGGTAAAATGAATTATATGGTTAGTTCATGTACACTTCAACCCCTTGTTTAAACTTAGAATCTTAATATTTGCATCTTTCTAACACTATTAGATAGCTATATTAGTAGCTCCGTGAACCGGCCCCGACCGTTATACATCATCTTCCCCGAGTTTAGCTGTCGTAATTACACCAAGAGAATCTCTACATATAAATGGGCCTATTAAATCTATTAATGCTATAATGGGCCTAGCCCACTAAAGTCTGTCTGTATGTAACACTCGTGTCTGCGAATCAGACAAGAAGACTTCGCATTGAGCTACGAGAGGTGAGACGGAGTGGAGAGATGGCGAATCAATCTCCAGAGAGCAATCAACCGTCGAATACGCAGACATACGGCTTCCCGATCTACGCCGCCGACTGGATCCCGGCAGAAACCGTCAGATCGAAAATCGACAAGGATCAGGACAATTCCGAAGATGCCGGCGAATCATCGTCGTCATCGACCTCCAAGAGCTGCATCGTTTTGGCCGGAGGAGGTGGAGAGGGACGAAGCGGGATCGCTAATGTCATCTTAATCTGTCGTGTTGATCTCGATACGAAATCTCTATTGGAACAACCTGTAAGTATTGCATATGCCTAGTGAGTGAGTGTGTATCAGATCTATATGTTTTGTTAGAATTTGTATAATTAACGATCATTGTTTCAGATGGGGAAGCTTGTGCTTGGCACTGATCTGCCTTACAGGATGGCTGTTCATCCTCGTGGAGGTGGTCTTGTTTGTGCATTGCCTAACAGTTGCAAGTCAGTCTCCTTTTCCAAAGCTTCTAACTTTATTAGGTTTTGTTGTTACAAAGACTTTAGTGGGTTTTATGGTTTGGTTTGGGCCTGGGCGTTTAGTTTTCAGTTCGGTTTTGGTTCAATTATTTCGGGTTTGGTTGGTTATTTCAGTTTCGGTTCGATTGGGGTAGCAAAGTTGGGAACAGGATGATATTCGGAAAAATTTAGGTCCAATTTGGTTCCACTTGCGAGGGTAATTTCTGATAATTCGGAAATTTTCAGGTTAAATACTGGGTAATTCGAGTTGTTTGGATAAAAATATCGGGTTATTCCGATAATTTTAAATATTTTAGGTAAAAAAAATTATTCAGCTAATTTGGGTTTTTGTGTTTTTTGGTTTATATATAGTGTTTTTTTAGGATTTTTGTTGTTTAGAAATTAAATATAATTGATATTTTTAGGTGTATAATATTAATTTTAAAAACTTGGGTAATATTCGGTTCCAAGTGTGGTTGGTTTCGGTTCCAGAGATAGAATCTGTGCGGTTGACTATGAAATATGGTTCGGTTTAGTACGGTTCGGTTCCGGATAAATTTGTCCATGCGTAGTTTGGTTAGTAGAGAGAAGTTTCAAGAGATGTGATAGTGCTTGTTGTTGTTCTCTTGATGCACAGACGGTTTGATTGGGAGAATATTATGAGTCCAAGAGAGGGTGATCTGGGTAGTGAAGAGGGAGAGGAAGTGATTAAAGAGTTGAAAGACGTTGGTCAACAGTTAGCTCTAGCGTTTAATCAGGAAGGGTCTGTGCTTGCTGCTGGTGGGGAGGTAGGAAAGCTCTTAAATTCAGTCTATTTTATATGTAACAGAGGATGAGAGAGGCTGTAGTGGTTCTTATGCATTTTTGTTTTGATGCAGTACAGGATGGGACTTTGAGGATTTTTGAATGGCCTAGTATGAAAACCATACTTGATGAGTCTAAGGCACATGGATCAGTGAAAAACCTAACCTTTAGGTCTGCTTTCTTCCTATCAAACTATAAAAACTTTCCATCATCGGAAATTCTATTGATGAGAAAGGAATCATTTTCGAACAATGGCCTGATAGTGACATTTTTCGTTTTGTAGTGAAAGTGGTAAGTTTCTTGTGTCACTTGGAGGTCCACTTTGTCGAGTTTGGGACGTAAAGGCTTCTGCTGCCATTGCCAGTCTATCAAAAGAGAAGGTCAGTGGGGTTTTCCTATTTGTATCTTTCAACTTTTTTTTACAAACTTTCAACATTTTTTATCAAATGTAATGAGTTTGAATATTATAATGCAGGATGAGATGTTTGCCTACTGCAGATTCTCTGTCGACAATGCAGGCAATGAAGTTCTTTACATTGCTGCAAACACTGGTAAACTTACAATCTAACAGTGCAAGAACATATAGTTTTAGATCCCTTTTTAATGTCAGAACAAGCGACTATAATTTGATGTGTTTTGCGTAGAACGTGGTGGGAGTATTATAACATGGGACACAACAACATGGAAAAGAAGACGTTCAAAGCTTATGAAAAACTATTCTATATCAGCCTTTAATGTCTCAGCTGATGGGAAGCTTCTTGCACTGTAAGTTTTATTTTTTTCTACGCAGTTTTGGAACCAAATAGATAAAAAGTAATACTAATTCTAGTTTGGTTGTCATTTATTTTCTTAATGCAGCGGAAACATGGAAGGAGATGTTTTGATAATTGATTCAACAAAAATGAAGACTCACCAATTGGTCAAGAAAGCTCATCTCGGTTTGGTCACCGCACTTAGTTTCTCCCCTGATTCAAGGTGTTTTTCTCTACTCATTATTTATCTTTGACTGCACAGCTACCTATTCAATGATCATGCTGAAGAAATGAACTGACTATCTGCAGGTGTTTAGTGTCGGTATCTTTTGACTCAAGGGCAAAGCTAACTGTCATTGAAAAAACGTCTGAAAAACGTATGATTTATCTTCTAATTTCTCTTTATTACTTTACCCAAACTTAACCAAAACCGTACCAGAATTCAGTTCACAGACTTAAGTTATAGAGATATTTGTTAATGTAATTGCAGATGGAGTAAACTGGCTGGTGATGTTTTTGTTGTGCGTGTTGCTATACGTGGTTTCATATTATTTCTTAATGGCAAAGGGGATCATAGGGAAAGAAAACAGCCTCTAAGTGACCCCGCAAGCCAGATACATCCCAACGGCTTGAAACCAACATACCATATGTTCTCTCTTTTTTTTTTGTTCCAGTCATAGCTTTATGCGTTTGTGACTTTGTGTTGTGAGAAAAATTCGAAGGCGTTCTTCTTCTTCATCTTTACGAGAAATTTGAATGCTTTTCTACATGTCATAATAATGTAAACTAACTTGGTTAAATAAAAGATATTATGCATCAACAAGGCTCTTTTATGTTTCTCATCTATACTATTTTAGCATGATCTTATTTTAATAATTTAGGATTCTGCCTTTGAATTTTTATCATATTTACAAGATAATATATTTCTTATTTCTAAATTTGGCCACTAATTAATATCATTTAATACAAAAAAAATTAAGCAACTTGCTAAATAAAAGTACAACATATGGAAAACTATATATATGACATGTCTATTATTCCTAGAGTTATTAAATTTGACAACAATCATTATCATTTAAAGCGATTTTGGAAAATATAAATTTATTAAAAACGAATTTACAAAAAATATAAAAATATGAGTTTCCTTATAAATCGTAGTTATTACATTAAATTACCTAATATTTAGCTAATTTAAAAGATTGCAATCTTTCAATTATTTAATACTTAATGAAAACAATTTTATAAATAGCATATATATATATATATACAAAATCAAATCTAATTTTAAATTTATTGAATATTCTTAAAACTAGGTTAGAAATTATTGTGTATAATTATTTGATTTCATTTGATCTATGTAGAGGATGGTTCACATTCACTGTAAATTTTCACGTGTATCAACTTTTTTACTAAATTTTCTTTTATGATTTAACTAAATTTACATTATTTTGAACACACTAAGCATGACAACAGTAGATATTAAGATTTTTATACATGAATTACATTGATTTAATATTCCATTTTGTTCAAAATAATAAATCTAAACATTGTTTTCAATTTTTTATTTGAATTTGACATTTTCTTAAGAAAAATAATATATAAATATATTTTTGTAAAAATTAAGTGATTTTAGTCACTCAAAATAAACTCAAACCGATCTAAAAGATGAGCAATACAATTACAAAGTGGATAAAATTATTGACTTAAAAGTAAATGAGTTCGAACGGTCAAGACGTAAATGTGTTCACCAAAAATGAGACGGATTTAAATAAGGTAGATCTATCATTTTATCATTCTTAACAAAGCATTTCATGAATTTTTATCAGATTTTTACAATATATAATATTTCGCACTTTTAAAGTGCGGATCAAAATCTAGTTCCAACTTTAAAATTGCTTCACATAAACATGGAGTAAACTTGAATCCAAAGTTCCATTAGTTTCAACTTGGATTTTTAACATAAAAACCCATCAACTAAGTTTATTTTGAGTAAAAATTCTTAAACTAAATATTAAAAACCCTTCAAACTAACTTTATTTAATGAATTAAACCATCGCCGATCATAATTAACAGTACTACCGGTAAATCTTTAGTTTAGGGGTTTATCATTAATACAAACTCAAAAAAAAAAAAAAAAATATTATCTAAAAATTCATAATTTTAATTTTCAAAACTATCATTTTAAAATTTTCTGTAAATATATGAGTGATTTGTTATCCTTTTAAAATGGATTTTCAACTCTAAAATACATCAACTAAATTTTTTTTGGGAAAAAACTCCGAAACTAACATGTAAATCCCATATTAACTTTATTCAATGAATTAAATTTTTGTCGGTCATAATTACCTTACTACTGATAAATCTTTCGTTTAGGGATTTCTACATAAAGTAAGCATATTTAAGAGATTTAAGCATTAAAAATCTAAAAAAGTTATAACATTATCTAAAAATTAGTATCCTAAATTTTCAAAATTAGCATTTTTAAAACTTTTTGTAAATATATGAGTTTGATTTGTTTTAACATCAACATTATATATATATATATATATATATATATATATATTAAAATGGTAAGACACCAAAATATATTAAAAATCATCTAAAGATTTATTCTTACATTTTTATTAGATAAGATATAATATTTATTCTGTTTTCTTGTTTTTTACATTTATAACTTTTTGATAATTTTTATTACAGGTAAATCTTTAGATAATTTTTGTTATATTTAATAAGGTTTACATGTTAAATTTATATATCTATAATGTTGATTTTAAAAAGATAACAAATCAGATTCATATATTTACATAAATGTTTTAAAATGCTAGTTTTAAAAAGTAAAATTACAAATTTTTAGATAATATTATTATATTTTGAATTTTTTATTTTTAATGATAAAATTCTTAAACTAAAAATTTACCGGTAATACTAATAATTATGACAGCGAAGGTTTAACACATTAAATAAAATTAATTTAGGGATTTTTTTTGTTAAATACTTAATTTATGAATTTTTACCCAAAACAAATTTAATAGAGAGATTTTAATATTAAAAATCCTTCCAACTTTTGAGAGAAACTTCCCTCTTTCTTTTTTCCTTTGATAGTACAACAATAATTGTTACAATGTTTGGAGACTGGGAAAGCCAAAAAGAGAACAACAATAAAGTAAAAAAGGAGACTGTATATATATCCCACAGGTTAGCATATAACCTTCTTCTTTTTCTGTGATTAGATTAGTGGCGCTTCCTTTGGTAGAGAGAATAACCAACGAGCGCAGACATCAAGAATGTCCACAGTACCTGTGTTTCCACAATATATGTGTTACTTGTAAGTTGTAATCATAGATAGAAAACCAAAAAAAAAAAAAGGAGTTGTATTTAGTCTTTTAAATACGATGAACTTTGATGGCATACCGTATTGATGGCCTGCCAGCGTTCGAGTCGTTTTATTCTTGACTGCATATCGTCCAAAACGTTGTCTATGGAAGAACCATCTCTTCTTGGTGACGCCTCCGACGCACTGTTACTACTTCCCTTCAAAATTGACAATAAAAAGAACCATTTTAGAGACACAAAACCCATAATGAGAGAAGAGGATAGAGGAGGCTTTTTGATTACCTGAGACTGTATGAATTCCACGAGTTCTTGCAACCGTGCTGCTTGTTGTGTATGGATTCCACTTGAACTTCTCTGCACTGGTGGTAGTCTTTCCAACACTATTTGAAGGTAACTCTTCATGAAGACAAGAGGGAGTAAGAGATGATTATGTATAAATATGTAAATGAAGATGAAGACAAAAAAGGGGTATTAAAAGGCAATGGAACCTTTGTTGTGTATGAACCATCCAGTTTGAGAGCTGAACCAGCAGCAGTCACAGCTTCTTTGTTTGCGCCTTTGATCTGAATGTATGGACTTGGCACATCTTGCAGATGATCAACTTCAATCAGAATCTTCAGTATCCAAAAATTAAGAGTGAGACTTAGGTGGACTATATTCACCTTAAAAAAAATGTCCCAGAAAAAAAAAGAGACTTGTGGAGCATATTCAAAAAAAGACTTACCTTTCCGTCTTGATAAATAAAGGCGGAGGCTTCAATATACGCCACTGCTTGATACCTGAAACAAAGAATAGAGCATACAGAGATCATCTAATGGAATACGATAACAGAAAACGTTGAGGAAGACTGACTGGAACAAAACGCTTATTTGATTTCTTGCTCACCCGAGATTAAGAAGACCTGCCACAGTGCTTACGCTAATGTCAAAATCTACTTTGGGCTGAATGATGAAGTTCCCTTCCCTAATTGGCTATGACACAGTACAAAAAGAGTCATGAGACATAATTGATAAATGCAGTGATTAACAACCATGAAACTAGAGATTAAAAGCATACCTCACGTATAAGCACAGCAAACCTGCCCTCGCAGATTCTAACGCGTATGCAGTCACTATCTGACAGCTGCCCATTGGCGGGAAGCCCAGATAGCCTGAAATATATATCGATAAAATTCTGAACCGAGCTGCAGAATTTCGTGGAATCAAGGATGCTGAGAATGTCCTGATACGGAACCTTATCAATGACAAGACGACTCGTGAGTGTTTCTGTAAACAATATCTATGGAAGCTCAGAATGTGTTATATTTGATCCCTTACCTGCTTATTGCTCTTCAAAACAAACAAAGAGCTCTCGGGAGAGAGAACTGGATCAAAATCATTTCGAATCTTGACCTGCATTATAGGGAAATATAGGCAGAGATCATCGAGCCGAGATTTTCTTTTTTTTTTCATATAATAAAAAGTACAAAGAAGAGTAGAGCATCATATTAGTGTATGAATTCTAGAGTTCATGTGTACTCACGTGTGCGTGCACTAGATGTGGCTCAATATGTTGCTGGAACATTGGAAATACGGTCATCATTATCTCATTTTGAGACATGAAACACCCGATTCGGCTTTTATCCCTCTGGACTCTGGAAATAAGATGTGAATGAACACCTCCCACCTGTTTTATGAAGCGTAAGAAAAATTAGTCTTTACATGATAAGAAAACAAGAAGGATGGAATAAAAAACAGCAAAGCGGAAAAGTATCTTACAACAGCAACCCAAAGGTCCAAAGATTGTCTGATTTCTGGATGCAACGCATATACCCCCTCGAAGATGATCTGAACAGCAATGAAAGATAATTTGATAACAATACTTCAAATGATAACAAAGGCGACGACCATTTTGAAAGAGAGAGTATCATATGAGAAGACTATGATCACTGACCACACCACACTCTTCAGAGACTTCAAGTTCCTTGAAGCCACATCTTGTACCAGTCTCCAAGTCAAATATAGGCAGTTTTGTTCTTCGACTGTTCGTTATGTCAGCAATGTTCTGCAAATGAAGTAGGAAGAGAATTTTAATTTCAGTAAAACTAACCAAACGGCTGACGAGTTTATTATATTCCCAAATTAAAGCGTTACCTTTGAGAGCAAAGGCAGATCAAGGGAACTAAAGTCATCATGCTTGAAATCTTTGACTTGTTCAGACTTGAAGTAATTTTCAAGGGAAACCACTTCACATCCAACTATATTAGCCATTTTATGGGCCAAGCTAGTCTTACCAGACCCACTAGGACCGCCTTCAGTGAAAGCATTGTAACAAACATATAGTGTAAGAAACAGATTTTCGGCTCAGCCTTAAAAAGTAAAATGATAGAAACAGCGAGTAAGAAATGTTACCTATTCCCACAATAACAGGTGGTCCTTTATTTTCCAATAGCGCCTGAAACGATAATCACAAGCAAAACAACCCTTACTATCAAGAGCAAAGTCTTT